TAATCTTATAATCTCTAACTGTCAAACAAAAAAAAATTTACAAAAAAGACTCAAACACCCACAAGAATTTTATCAACACTTAACTTACAGTCCATTTGTATTTCATTCTCTCAGATTGTTAATCAAAATGGATAGTTAGTTTATAGGACCTGCTGAAACTATTAAAATAATCCCCATCTGTACTCTTACTAATGCCCCAGGGCCCTATGAATTTAGCAGACATACTGAGATACTTTATCACACAGCTTCAACCAGACTCATAATTTGCTCATGAAAACCCTGCCTATAATAAACATTTGTTGACCTAAGGCTCTGAATAATAACAAAACAATTTAAAAGATCAGCCTCTTACTCAATCTATTTATCGTAAGCAAATTTCCAAACACCCCTTGAATGACAGTGAATGATTGATGATTACAAGGAAAAGGGTGATATTCTATAAGTTGATAAATATCAGCAATAATCTTTTAATATCACAAGCACAGAGAGATGAAATTTTCATTAATAATGCTGGAAAGGAAACAAGTTGGAAGAAAATATCATCTATTAAATTCCAGCTCTCCTTAAGTTTTTAAGATCTCAGAATTTATATATCATCTACTTAGTGGTTCTTAACCAGAAGTTGTATCAGAATATTGAACAAATATTTTTAGAGAATGTCTAGACTTTATCAGATTTACTGAATCAAAAGCTTCAGGGGACCAGGGGACAGCCTAGACTTGTAAATATTCTTTAAGCTTCTCAGGACATTGAAATGCACAATTCCAGCTGAGAACTAGAGCAGTAGACAACCATCACTTCCAGCTCTTCTCTCACCCACAGGATCAATTTTGGAGGTTGACCAGAGGAAACAGTCACAATGAAAACTCAATTTTCCACAGGTAGGGGGTAAATCAGTGGCTAGAATACTCGAGATCCAAGTTGATTTTGTTATTTGTAAGTCCATTTCTCCCACCTTCCCTATCAAGACATCCTCCATTTGGGAGCACAGGTTAGACTCTTACACAAGTGGCTACCAGAATAGACTAACATGCAAGATAATTATTTGATCTTCCCTCTTGTTCACCACTTAATCACCTATTCACTGCCAATCAGGTTTCCTCAGAGTACTGAAAAGGATCTTAACACATGTTTACAACTCACTACCTAGCTTATCAAATGAAGAATTATTATCCCTAAAATTGAAGAGCACCTGTCTCAACATATAAATTTGGAAAAACAAAAAAATTTTTAAAACAATCTTTCCCTCCACTACCTAATTTCCAAACTAGTTTGTATATTTCTGATCATTCCTTTTCAATTCCCCCTCTTTAAGCTATGCCACTGAAAATAAGTCCTTTTTACATATATTAGTTTGAAATAATTTCAACAGCAGCAAGATTTCTATTTATTGTAACATGCTTCTGTTTTGAGTTTTAAACTAAAGCCTATTTCCAAAGGAAATCTGCTTACCTGTGCTGTTTTGGAATTACCAGGTCAATTAAAAAGGTTATCTTTTACTACCTCCTACATTCATTAACAATTTTGTTTAAAAGGGGGAAGGAAAAGCTTCCATTGAGATCAAGTCCTATTACTTCAATTTTAAATCTTTCAACTTGCTTAGAATGGCCAGGTCAATAGTATTTAAGATTCAATGGCTGGGGCCAGTGTTGTGGCACAGCGAATTTAACCCTCCACCTTCAATGCCTGCATCCCATATAAGCATCATTTCCAGTCCTATTTCACTTGTGATCCAACTCCCCACTAATGCACCTGGGAAAGCAGCAAAGCATGGCCTGATTGTTTGGCTCCCTGTCATCCTTGTAGAAGACCCAGATTGGGGGTGAACCAGCAAATGGAAGATACCTGTCTCTCTCAATCACTCTTCTCTCTGTAACTCTGCTTTTCAAATAAATAAATCTTAAAAAAAAAATAAAGGAAAAAAAGGATGGGGCCACCACTGTGGCATAGCTCTGGCATCCCAGATGGGCACTGTTGGATTCCCAGCTGCTCCACTTCTGATCCACCTTTCAATTAAATAAATAAATCTTTAAAAAAAAAGGAGGGGGGAGATATTCAGGTTGTGTTTGGTAAACAATGGAATAAAAGAATGAATAAATACAGTTAGGTAATTCAATTTTTTTTTATTATTTTTGACAGGCAGAGTGAGAGAGAGAGAGAGAGAAAGGTCTTCCTTTTTCCATTGGTTCACCCCCACAATGGCCGCCGCGTCCAGCGTGCTGCGGCCGGCACATCGCGCTGATCCGAAGCCAGGAACCAGGTGCTTCTCCTGGTCTCCCATGGGGTGCAGAGCCCAAGGATTTGGGTCATCCTCCACTGCACTCCCGAGCCACAGAAGAGAGCTGGCCTGGAAGAGGGGCAACCGGGACAGAATCCGGCGCCCTGACTGGGACTAGAACCCAGTGTACCAGCAACGCAGGCGGAGGATTAGCCTATTGAGCCGCGGTGCCGGCCAGGAAGGAATTCAATATTTTTAAAGAAAACTTTTATAAAGTAAAACAATACTTTTTGCAACATTATTATCATCTATATTTCATTTGTCTTAACTTCATAAGGACAAAAATGATCAATTTTTGTTTGAATATATAATAAATTTTTATATAATGTGTGTATAATAAATGACTTAGATAATAAAACTGCAAGCACAGATAAAAATATTCAATTTAAAGGCTAAAACTTGGGAGAAGACACCAATCCACACAAAAGACAAATTAACTGAAAGTGAGAAATTATTTATATCTAAGATTCATATTTCTCCTCTTCCCAGAGATTATTTCATTAATAATAAACCTTTACATATTCGTTGTAGAAATTCCAGATAATAAAAAGAAAATTTCACATATAATTCAAATGCCAAAATAACAAATTTTGTACATTTTGTACCAAGGCCATATTCCGTGAGTATGTACATCTTTCCATGTCAATATACATCTGTGTCTATTCTACCCTAAATGACCACATATTATGGTAACTTGTGGATTCTCTATGATTTATTAATTATATAGGTTCCTCTTACCACATTGGTATTTTAAGCAACTGAAAAAAATTGCTTTTATCTCTATTTCCTAGAAATGTGTTGGTATAGTAACACTAAAAGGTAGGAGTCATATACTTTTTTTAATGTGGTATAGTACTCACCACTAAATTGTCTATTTGAAAAGTCATAAGAGGCCGGCGCCGCGGCTCACTAGGCTAATCCTCCGCCTAGCGGCGCCGGCACACCGGGTTCTAGTCCCGGTCAGGGCGCCAGATTCTGTCCTGGTTGCCCCTCTTCCAGGCCAGCCCTCTGCTGTGGCCAGGGAGTGCAGTGGAGGATGGCCCAGGTGCTTGGGCCCTGCACCCCATGGGAGACCAAGAAAAGCACCTGGCTCCTGGCTCCTGCCATCGGATCAGCGCGGTGCGCCGGCCGCAGCGCGCCGGCCGCGGTGGCCATTGGAGGGTGAACCAACGGCAAAAGGAAGACCTTTCTCTCTGTCTCTCTCTCTCACTGTCCACTCTGCCTGTCAAAAAAATAAAAAATAAATAAATAAATTATTAAAAAAAAAAAGAAAAGTCATAAGAAATTTAAACTTCAAGCAAAAGTATACGTCCACTGCTCTTCATCCTCACAAATTTTGTGGATGAAAACAGTATTACCTCTTTTAACTCAAATTCCTTCTTTTACCAGGTATACTAAATGTTTTTTTTCTATGTTCTTAGGTCACTTGTAGACCTGCTAAAAAGTACTTTGCCCAACTTAAAATTAGAGTTCAGGTTTTTTTCTTGTTTATTTCAAAGAATTCTCTGTTAATGAAAGATACACTTTTCTTCTGAAAAATATATATTCTAAGTTTTTTAAGTTCTAACTATATTCTAAGTTTCTTACTTTGTTAACTTTTTTCCTGATATACAGGGAGTTATTTTTACTTTGCTGAATCAACATTCAGAATATTTGCTTTCAAAGTAATTCTTAGAAAGACTTTTGTTGACACAAAAATGTAATAATGGGCATTCCTGTCACTTTTTCAATTTTATATATTTAAAATTTTTAATTTTAACTCCATCAGGAATTTATTTTTGTGACATAAAAATCTAGTCAGTTTCCTCCAACTAACAGGCATTTCATTTATAAATCATTCATCTTTTCCTACAAATATGAAATGCAACCAATATCAAGTTCTATACATATATTGGGATGTTTCTGGATTTTCTACTAGTTCCATTCATCAATTTGTCCTTCCAACTGTCAGTAACAGATCCATTTGTGAAAATTAATAGCACATTTTCCTATCTAGAAGAGCAAGTTTGTACAGACTGCTTTACAAACCAATGCCATCACAACAAAGACACTATATGTAACTTAAAAGTTTAAAGCCTGGCTCTTTCTGGCTCATGCACAACCGATGAACACTTAAGAGTTCACAACTACACTTGGAGTAGGGTTAACTGTACCATCATTAAGTAAACTGAAAATAGATCTTTGTAAAAAAATAAGAGTGGGAATGGGAGAAGGCGGAGGAAGAAAGGTTGGAGTGTGGGCGGGAGGGTAGGGAGGGAATTATCACTATGTTCCTAAATCGGTATCTATGAAATACATGAAACCTGCATAACTTAAATACAATTTTTTAAAAAGTCCACAACTAGTCTTCCTACTCAGGATCACAGAGCCACCGTCCCACGTCTACGACCCCTCGGCACAGAACACCGATACGTGACTTTACTCAAAGAATCTTTAACCCCAGAAATCTCTCACTGGGCACTGTTCTATAATGGACCCAATACGGTTTTGAACACGTGTGCGCTGTAGATTTAACGTCGTCCGTAGGTAAGTCACTTTCAAAGGTCAGCACAGAGCTCAGGGGGATAGGGGAAGACCGGAAACCAGCTGAAGCTTTTTGTTTTCGTTGCAGAGGAAGCCAGCGGGGCACCTGCGGTGCCAGGAGAGCCCGGGACGCGAGGGCGTCCCGCACCTGGGCCCAGCCCGCTCCGCCCGCCCTCGCCCCGGTCCCGGGCCCTGGTACCTGTCCGTGTTTCTCCCCAACAAAGAGGAGGCGCTGCCCTCCGGCCGTGTCCCCGCACAGGCAGCTTTGCGGATCTTCCCGAGGTCTGTGTCTCGGGTGCGAGTCTCAAATCCGTTCTCACACCCAACGGAGGAGCGCCAGAGCCCCCGGCGTTTAACTCCTCACAGCCGAAACTGCCGGCGGCTCCGGAGCCCAGTACCGGCTGGGTACTGTGGCCAGCCACCGCGCACAACCCAGCAGCTCCGCAATCCCAACTTCTCAAAGCTTGGTCACGTTAGCCAGGCGACGCCGCTCAACACCTGGGCAAACGCGCGCCTCAGAAAGCCGAGTCGCTGCGCAGGCGCACTGAGGCCCGGCAGCCACGGGTGCTCAGCGCGCGTGCGCGACACGCGAACTTCCAGAGAGTGAGCGACGGTGTTGCTTCATGTCTGGGTTGGAGATGCGTCTCTGTGGGAAAGTAGTCTTTGTACTCGGCCGGGGCTAGAGCAGAGTGGACCATCTGGAGAATACTCCCTGACAGACTCTCTCTACATCTCCTTATCCCTCACCGCCAAATGTTTTCTCCTGATTGCGGAGATGGACCATTTGCGTCATCAAGAGCAAACTTACAAGGTAACAAATCAATCTACGTTTTCCAGAAGAAATGAAAATACGCTTCTGCATGACTCCTACCCCGCCCCTATAGCTCAGCCTTACCTTTTTATCTACTTTTTTTTTTTTTTGCTGTTATTTTTCACAATTGAATCTTTAATTAATTCACGACTCGTTTGGAGAATGCTTGACTTTAAGAACTTTTTGATAATAGCTGTTCACTTGCCCTAACGATTCAACTTTTGGAATAGATGAAGAATACCTTGTCCTGACTTAAGTTCTTAGGTGTGTTCTTTGTGCTTCGGGATTTTTCATTTTGTTCCAGTGGCCTGTCGGCTTCTTCAGTCAGTACTCCAGTACTTTATCGATAACATACAGTAATTTGGGAGCTGGCACTGTAGAATAGCAGGTTAAGTTGCCACTTGCCACTCTGGCATCCCATATCAGAGCACCAAGTCAAGTCCCAGCAGCTCCACTTACAATCTAGCTTCCTGATAATGTGCATGTGAAGTCAGCAGATGGTGGCCCAAAGTGCTTGAGTCCCTGGATTTTCCTTGACACAGATGCCTTGTGGCCCTGGGTAATGAAACAGCAGGTCGAAGAGGTCTCTGCCTCTCCCTCTCTGTGGCTTTGTCAGGAACCTGGAACTGCATCCTGGCCTCCCACATGGGTGGCAGGGGCCCAAGCACTTGGGCGGTTTTCCGATGCTTTCCCAGGTGCATTAGCAGGGAGTTGGATGAGAAGCAAAGTGCCAGGACTCAAATTGGGAACCATATGGGATGCCAGCCTCACAGAAAGAGGCATAACCCCTGTGCCACAATGTGGGCTCCAATGCTGTCATTTTTATAGAATTTTTTTTATTTTTCTGCACAAATATCCTATGCTTATGCTTCAGTTCTAAGTCCTCAGTAAACCAAATACCAGTTGAGGAACTTTATCTGTAATGCTATCCAGTGTTACAAAGGGCAATTTCAACAGTTATAGGAGTGTTTTATTTGAATCTTCTCCTTTTCCTTTGTTAGTCTGGCTAAAGTTTTGCCTATTCTATTTTTCTTTTCAAAAAAGCAAGCAATTTATTCTGTTCATCTTTGTTGTTTTTTTTAATTTCATTGTTATTTATTTCTCTTCTCATCCATATTTTTTGCTTCCTTCTATTTTGGAGTTTGGTTTGTTGTTGCTTTTCTAAGTGCTTGAGGTGCATTATTAGATGTTTTATGTTAAATCTTTCTGTTATCTTGATGTATGCACTATTCCTATAAGATTCCCTCTTAATACTATTTTAATTTCATACTGCATATTTTAATGTTATGTTTTCATTTTCACTTGTCTCAAGAAATTCTTAATTTAATTTTTAATTTCATCAGTTACCCATTGGTCATTCAGGAACATGTTGTTCAGTTTCTGTGTATTTGTAAACTTTTCACTGATTCTTGTTTCATTCCATTGTGGTGTGAGAATATGCAGTGTGTGAATATTATATCTTTAAGTTTATTAAGGCTTGATTTGTGACCTAGTAAATGATCAAACATGGAAATTGTTCCATGTACTGAAGAAAAGAATGAATATTCTGTACCTGCTAAATGCAATGTTCTGTAAATGTTAGGTTCCTTTGCTCAGTAATACAGTTCAGTCCTGAGGCGACTTTATTTTCTGTCTTGATGATGTCTCAATTGATGACAATGTGGTGTTGAGGACCCCAGCTATTGCTGCATTGCAGCGTATCTCTCTTCCTCTCTCTCTTCCTCTCTCTCTTCCTCTCTCTCTCCCTCCCTCTCCCTCTCTCTCTCTCTCTCTCTCCCTCTCCCTCTCCTCCTCCCTTTCCCTCTCTCTCTCCTTCCATTTACCTTCCTCCCCTTTAGATATAATAAAATTTGCTTTAATTTGAGGGATCTGGTGTTGTGTTTATATATATTTATAATAGTTATACCTTATTGCTTAATCAATATTAGTATATTTTATTAATATATAATGACATAATTTGTTTTTACAGTTTTTCATTTAAAGTCTGTTTTATCTTGTAGGAGTATAGCTACTTCTATTAACTTTTGTTTTCAAATTGCATGGAATGTCATTTTCCATCTCTTCACTTTCAGCCTATTTGTATCTTTACCTCTGAAGTGAGTTTCCTTTGGATAGCATGTAGTTGGGTCATGTTTTTTTTTTTTTTTCCATTCCACCAACATATATCTTTTGACTGTGGAATTTAATGTATTTACATTCAAGGTTAAATTTGATAGATAAGAACTAACTTATTTTTTAAAATTTTTTAAGTAATACAAATTTCATAAATACAACTTTAGGAGTTAGTTATTCTTCCCATCATATCAGCCCCCCCCCACCCACACTCCCGCCCCTCCTCCTCCTCCTTCTCCCATGCCAGTCACATTCTCCATTAACATTCATTTTCAATTAACTTTGAACACAGAAGACCAACTCTATACTAAGTAAAGATTTCAACAGTTTGTACATATAAAAACACACAGACACACATACACACACAGAAAACTGTTTGAGAACTGGTTTTACAATTAATTCTCAATAAAACTCATTGAGGACAGAGGTCCTGCATGGGGAGTTAGTGCACAATGACACTTATTGTTAACTTATCAATTAATACTCTTATATATGACATCAGTGACCACCCAAGGTACTTGAAATGAGCTGCCTAGGCTATGAAAGCCTTTAGAGTCCACAAATTCTGTCAGTATTTAGACAAGGCCATAAGCAAAGTAGAAGTTCTCTCCTCCCTTTGGGAAAAGTACATCTTTCTTTGATGGCCACTTTTTCCATGGGGGTCTCACTCAGAGAGATCCTTTATGTAAAATATTTTTGCCACAGTGTCTTGGCTTTCCATACCTGAAATGCTCTCATAGGACTTTCAACCAGACCTGGAAGACTTAAGGGCTGATTATGAGGTCAGAGTATCACTGAAAGCTATTGTCATTCTATGAGTCTGCCGTGTGGACTGCTTCCCATGTTGGACATTCTTTCCTTTTTTTTTTTTTTTTTTTTGACAGGCAGAGTGGACAGTGAGAGAGAGAGAGAGAGAGACAGAGAGAAAGGTCTTCCTTTGCCATTGGTTCACCCTCCAAAGGCCACCGCGGCCGGCGTACTGTGGCCAGAGCACCACGCTGATCCGAAGGCAGGAGCCAGGTGCCTCTCCTGGTCTTCCATGGGGTGCAGGGCCCAAGGACTTAGGCCATCCTCCACTGCACTCCCGGGCCACAGCAGAGAGCTGGCCTGGAAGAGGGACAACTGGGACAGAATCCAGCTCCCCGACCGGGACTAGAACCCGGTGTGCCAGAGCTGCAAGGCGGAGGACTAGCCTAGTGAGCCACGGCACCGGCTATTCTTTCCTTTTTAATTCTATTATTATTACCAGGCACTTGATCCTATTTATATATCTCATTACCACTTAATCCTATCTATATGTTCACTTTAACACTTAATATGATCACTTTAACAATTAAGGTGGCATTTTTACCAATAATTTTAATGGGATTTGGAGTCCCATGACAAGTTTTTAAACCGTACCCTTGGAAATAAGTCCAGAGGAATGTATGTAGAACTATACAGATTTACAGTTACAAACTTCCTCCTCCCTCTCTTATACCCACTCTTGTTTTTCACTGAGATTATTTTCAATTGACTTTATACACATGTGATTAACCCAATGTTAAGTAAAGAATTCAACAAATAATATGAAGGAAAAAAAGGCAAAAAAAAAGCAAAGAAAACAAAACTGTTCTTCGACAGTCAAGACAAGGACAGCTCAAGGCATCCCTTTTGAAGTGTCAATTTCACTTCTGCAGATTTCCTTTTAGGTGTGCTATTAGGTCAGGGAGAATATATGGTATTTGTCCCTTTGGGACTGGCTTATTTCACTAAGTATGATGTTTTAGAGATTCATCCATTTTGTTGCAAATGCCTGAATTTCATTTTTTAACAATTATGTAGTATTCCATAGAGTACATATCCCATAATTTCTTTATGCAGTCTTCAGTTGATGGGCACTTAGGTTGATTCCATGTCTTAGCTATCGTAAATTGAGCTACAATAAACATGGAGGTGCAGATAGCTCTTTTGTTAACTGATTTCACATCCCTTATGTAAATTTCCATGAGTGGGATTGGTGGATAATATGGTAGGTGTATTTTCAGATTTTTTAGGTATCTCCATACTGTCTTCCATAGTGGCTTTACCAGTTTGCATTCCCACCAACAGTGCATTAGGGTACCTTTTTCCCTACATCCTCAACAGCATTTATTGTTTGTTGATTTCTGTATAAAAGCCATTCTAACTGGGGTGAGGTAAAACCTCATTATGATTTGCATTTTCCTGATGGCTAGTGATCCTGAGCATTCTTTCATGTGTCTGTTGGCCTTTTGGATTTCCTCTTTTGAAAAATGTCTGCTTAGGTCCTTGGTCCATCTAATAAGTGGGTTGTTTGTTTTGTTGTTGTGGAGTTGCTTGATCTCTTTGTAGATTCTGGTTATTAATCTTTATCAGTTGCATAGATTGCAAATAATTTCTCCCATTCTGTCGGTTGCCTCTTCACTTTTCTGAGTGTTTCTTTTGCCGTACAGAAACTTCACAATTTGAAGTAATCCCACTTGTTAATTTTGGCTTTAACTGCCTGGGGTCTTTTCCAAGAATGCTTTGCCTGTGCCAATGTCTTGCAAGGTTTCCCCAATGTTCTGTATTAATTTGATGGTGTCAGGTCATAAATTCAGATCTTTTACCCATGTTGAGTGGATTATCGTGTAAGGTGTAAGCTAAGGGTCTTGCATCATACCTCTGCATGTAGAAATCCAGTTTTCTCAGCACCATTTGTTGAAGAGACTGTCCTTGCTCTGGGGATTGGTTTTATCTCCATGGTCAATTATAAGTTGGTTGTAGATGTTTGGATTGATTTCTGGAGTTTCTATTCTGTTCCATTGGTCTATCCATCTATTTTCATACCA